CCATTCCAAGCCTCAAACCACAATAAGCGGATAGAGCCATTCGACAAAAACGCTGGTCCTATGAAAAGGTGTAAACAACGCCTCAAATTAATAGTGGGAAACAGTAATATATAATTACATTGAAAATTCAGGCTAATCTGAATGAGAGCCATGTAAAATACTAGCATCTTGGAGACGTGGTTTCTGCTCAACTAAATGGGCTTGAATATACTTTCAAATGTCAGTTAGAAAAGGCAGTGACAATACAGAGAATGCAATCTTTCAACAGCAAATGATACTTTAAAGTATCCTATTTAGGGACATTGACTTGCAAGTTTGAGTTATTTTATCTGAATTGATCCCAGATTGTTTCCAGAGGTTTTAGTAGTATACTGTACATGGATGCCAATAAAAGTAACAATACTGGGAAAACATTTTGCTGAAAACATTTTTAATCCAAAATCTAGTTTCAATGAATAGTCTTTAAAACAAAGAATTATAGTCTTCTCAAGATTAATACTTAAACTTGTGCTTGAAACTGAAAAAAATGTTTTAAGGGTTTTGGGGTTTAAGTAGCAGAGCCACAGAATTGTTGGGACTAATCAGAGGAGTGATCAAACAGAAGTAAGTGGTAACATAGCTGGCAGACATCTGTCACTGAGAGAGTAATGACTAGGACAGTAGTAACTGAGAACTAAGGGTTATTTATTTATGGCATCTCTTTGCTCTTGCTTATATATTTAAATTAGAACTTTACATTCAAATCATCTGGGAAAAAAAGGTTTTGCTAAATGAGGTCAGACAGTATTTGACAAAGGTGTAAAGTGTTTGACAGCTTCTGAAGTACATATATGAGGAGAACCATGTTACAGGAAGATAGGTGTAATCACCAAGGAATTTAGAACTTTCAATATTTATTTTCAAACTAAACCCATATTTTATGATGCAAGACATTTTTTGTTTTGTAATCTACAGGGTAATTTCCACAAGATTCTGTTGCATATGAGGCATAATTTCATAATTTTCCACAAAGACAAAAGTGCCTCATTCAAGTCTCCATCATTACAAAGAAGACAGTTGAGAGTGTAGGAGGTCACAGCAGGGATCTGGAGGTCACTTATTTCTCCTGTTAGGAGCAGAACAGCATTCCTTTTTATGTGATGCAGATTTGGCTTCTAACTTTCATTGGCCATTAACACAAAAATCAAAAGTTTTCCTCTCGCTCAATAATAATTGTCTTAGGTCTCTGTAGTCTTAAAAATCACAGCTAACTCTAATTAGTTGATACATTCAGTTTATCCAACATACTTCTACCTCTTTTGACAGAAGGCAGCATACAACTGAAAGTTGTTCAGCCACATGCAATCCTGTCCTGTAGTTATCCAAATAACTGCACATCAAATCTAACACCAGAAAAAGTCATACTGCTTATTTTTTAAAAAAAGAAACAATTTTGCTGAAAGTGATTTATTAATGCCCTAAGAAAACAAATGGCATTGATATAAATAAAATGTTATTTCTTAATTTCAGTAACAGAATGTTGAAATCTACCTTTCTCTGGCTCTTAAATGAAGGGTAATAGTTTAGAAATCTGGAATGATCACATACAACACCTTACAACTTTAATATAGATGTATATAAATTAGAATTAGGAAAACATGTTTTGGGCATCAGTTATGACAGTTCTGCTTTGCAATCTTCCTTTTAAGCACCACTTCTAACTAAGGTATCATTCTCAGGAATTTAACATTGTGTAGTTAGACCAACTGCTCAATGAGTAAGAACAGATGACCAGACTGAAAGAACTGTAAATCCCCTTCCACTCTGAACTGAAATTGAAGTTTTCTCTGCACTTAGTTAATAGCAAGTCTTCCTTTCTTCAAGTTACTATTATTTTCCAAATGCATATGTCAAGTGTGGTGGTTTGAATGGCTCAAAAAGTTACAGACTTGAGATTTTGTGATAATCTAAGTAAAAAACCAGTTTTTTTCCTCACAGTACTGAAGTCTGTGTTATAGCAGTCCACTAGTTTTAGGCAGTCCATGTGACAGAGGCTTCTTATCATGCAGCCTTTAAAACAAACCTGTGCTATTCAGTTTATTAAAAAATAAAAAGTTAGGGGAAGCAGAGCTGAGAACCCAGCCTGCAAGCCAGCACATAGACTTTCCCCTGCATAGGTTATCTCCCCACCAGCCTACGCAATCAGATAGCTCGTGGCAATTAGTCTTAATAAGGCAGTAGAGTGTTCCGAGGTGGAGTAGCTGACTTTACTAATTGTCGGCAGCAGCTTCAGGGATTCTGACTGCTTGCATTTAAGAGGGGAGTCATATGACATCATGCTCAGTTGTTGCTTGTTAATTTGACCTTTCCTTTTCCCTTCTCCATGTACTTTAAGTGTGGGAAATAAGACAGTGCAGCAGCTTCGGTTTAAGTTCTCCATATAGCAGCAGGCAAAAAGCAGAAGCTTGCAGAAGTGGAAATCCTTTGAGATGGGTACCTGAGTTTGCTATTTCCTTTGAGTAGCTATTAGTTGCGTGCAAAAATGTTTTTGGGTGCCTACATGCTCAGCCCTGTTCTAGCTGGCCTTCAGCATGGCCAAAGAGCAACTGCATCCATGGAGTGTGATTCCTCCCAGCAAGTGATGCTGCTTTGCTGGAAGGGACATGGGGGCACAGGGTGCTCCGAGGGGGATCTCCCCAGCTGGGGTGTTTCAAGGGTCCAGTCAGACAAGGGCTGCAGAAACTGTGCACACAGGCACCGTCTTAAACAAGTGTAAGCCTTCCCAAAAACTAAAGGTGACAAGCAGGGTTTGTCCAATTTACCTTAGGGTGGGAAGATGGCAGCCTGTGGACATGGGGTGATTGTTGGGACCAGGTTTCAGCTCCAAGACTGGGGAGGAGAAAGAAGGAAAAAAAAAATATTATTATGCCCTATTACATCCCCTTGTTTTTCTTGGTCAGAGTGTAGGGTTGCAAAAGTCCATCCTGATGTATTTAGGCAAAAGGAGAAGAAGGATATTTAAGTTGGCCAATGAACAGAATTGCTGTCAGAAGTAATTTAGATATTGCGTAGCTGATCCTGAGTTTTGAGTCTGTCAGCTCTTCCAAGGAAAAGGGAAGAAAACTTAGCATAGTTGGAAAGTTTTGGGGTTAGTTTTATTTTGCTTTTCCCCCAGTATCTGCGATTTCTACTAGGGAGAAAACAAAACTCTAAACAAAAAAAAAAAACCACACACACACAAAAAGGTAAAATTTCAGTGATTGTGTGAATTGAAAGGCAACAGAACATACTGCAGAAAATATTGTAATTAAGAAATCAATCCAATTTGTACTCTTACCTCTGCGCTAGTTTTAAGTAGAAAATTTCAAGAAAAACACTGACAAGACAATCAAAATTTAAATTGGATCTTGGTTACTGGCAATGTTTATAGTGTTTCAACAGTCATTAGATATGACAGGATTACAAAGGAGGATGGGGAAGCCTCAAGAAGAAAATACTGTTCGGTCCCTCTCAGAGAGGTGGAAGCTGAGCATCTCGTCCAGCAGGAAAGGCAGCACTACTGCAGCTACACCTCAGAGCTGTGGGACTGTGCATGAAGGGAGATGGAGTTTAGCAGTGGCTGGAATGTTGGATTCTGACTCTTAGTTTCTCAGTTTTCAGTGACAGGGTGGAGTCCTTGCTCTGCTGCCTGCCCAGAAGGCTTAGTTGTGTTTGGGTTTTTTTCAATCCAGTGCTCATCTACTGCAAAAGCCATACACTGCCTAAAGCAGAGATCAGGTGCCATCACTCCACAAGAGTGTCCCTGTTGCTAGATGACAGTTGTCTCGTTCACACTGTGCACGTTGTTGTGGATAACAGAGAACCATGCCATTCACTGGAAGGATGCTGCTTCTGGGTGCTGGGCTGCTTCTCTGCAGCAAGCAGAGGCTTTTGTGAATTGGAAGAATTGTGTTAGAGGTTTCTGAACAAGTGACATTTCTGAGGCATTCAGTGGTGGAAAGTACTCTGAACTAAACAAGTGATGACTGGCTACTGGGTGTTAGGATAGTCATACAAAGTCATCAGACACAAGATACCAAATTTGTCGTAATTTTCAGAAAACCTAGAAAGCAGGTTTCTGTTCCCTAGGAATTTTTTCCAGCCTAACTTTGGTTCCACTTAGTTGGAAGCAAACGAACAAGAAGGACTCAAAACTTGTTGCAGACTAAGTTGCTGAAGCCTGCAGATGCTCAGTGATACTGATACTCCTCTTGCTTTCACTGAGCTGCTGCAGGCAGCTTCTAGTTCCCTGACTACAAGAGAAATTTGGCAGTTCAGTTTTTTTTTCCTTGTTTGATCTGCATTCAAACTGTGGAAGCTGAGAAGTCAACGTGGGATCAGTAGGAGGTAAAAAATTATTTTGCACTCGGGTTTTAATTCATTTGTTAATAAATCTGTTAGAATGCAAGCTGCCTCCCACTCAGATGAGATTAGCTCCTCTGTTCCCAGCAGGACGCAAAAACTGTAGAACAACAGGACTCTAGGGCTGACCTTAGCTAAGAAACCTAGAAGCACAAGTTCCTTAACTAGAGAAATCCAGACTAATTTCTCAAATCCAAAACGTGGCTAAAAAGCACACATTTTAGGCTCATGTTTCAGCACTCAAAACCAGCTCTAGGCATCATGTGATACGGCAGATCTGTCTCTGTGCCACGCATACCTGCCTGATCCTTGAACTCATTCTTCTTACTCCTCCCTAGAACGTTTCAGTGCTAGAAAACCATCACTGGCGATCTACGATCGGGATGCTTCGAGAGTCGCGGCTCCTCGCCCACCTGCCCAAGGAGGTGACGTAAGTGTCCGCTGCAGGAAACGCGCCACGGAAACCAGTCCCTGGCTCCCTTCACGCTCCTTAAAAGGACGCTGGCAAAGAGGCCCAGGCTTCAGAGTAGGCTGAACTCCCTGCCCTTTCTCGGTGCCAGTATGAAATCATGAGACGAAGTTAGGCGGGAGAAGTATTTTCTAAGACCTTGTCCCTTCTGCAGCAGAGGAGCGGCCGTTGTCGGCACCAGGAGCACTGACAGTCCCAGCAGGGCAGAAAAGCAGGAATGGACCTTCTGAGATCCATTGTTGGCATTTTTCGTTTCACACAGCACCAACCAACTGTGGAAAGATTTAGTGATTAAAAAGCAGGAAATACAGAGAACGACAAACGAGTTTGCCAGTTAGCATTGAGACTGCTCGGGACTTCCACTCCTGACTGAAGAGGTGTGGTTCAGTCTTCACCATATTTTTGGGTGCAGCCAAAAAAAAAAAAAATCAGCAACGTGAGCACCTTGGCCAAATTGATGCTAACTTTTTACCTGCTGTTTTTGTGCAGTGTTGCTTCCACCAAAGAGCGGAGATTAGCCCCAGGAACAGTCTGGAATTCTAGATTTTAATCACAGGTGACCTTACCCGGAATATAAACAAGTTACCAGGAAGCAATAAGCTCTATATCCCTCCAGAAATTCTTTGCAGCAGACCAAGAACTTCAGTCGAACTTTAAAGGCCTTCAGTCCAGCCCTTCACAGCTTCAGCTGCAGCTTCAAAGTTGCAGTGATCACCCACCACCCAGCTCAGAGCAGCTGAAGTAATATGTGAACATTTTTCTAGATGCATCATGCTGTTATTTTGTTCATTTTGTTTTGGTTTTCACTTTCCTAGCACTTTTATGAAACTTTCAGAACCACCTATGCCAACTAGCATTTTTCTGCTACGTTATCTATTCCTCCTGAAACCATTTAGATGCAGCTGGAATGGTTGTACCCTGCACATCCCAGCAGACTGACCAAACAGATCAGACTAGATCTATAAAGAGGAAATTTTATAGCTATACTCTGTAGGAGGTTGTTTTGAGCTATTAATGTTCAATGTTTCCTTGACTGAAGGGGCTTTATTTTCTTTACCTGCAGACAGGACATCGAGCAGCAGTTGGGCTCCCTGATCCTGGCAACAGACATCAACAGGCAGAATGAGTTTTTAATCCGTCTGAAATCTCACCTTGACAATCAGGATTTGAGGCTAGAGGATGCACAAGACAGACATTTTATGCTTCAGGTAACTTAAAAAAAATATATTTCTGTTATTTTTGTCTACTACTTTTTCAAGTCACAGTACTTCCTAGTATATGTTAGAATAGCACATGATAGTGTGTCTGGACATCAGCTTCTCCTTACCTATCACCACAAACACTTGCCTTCTGCTGCTTGGCATGCATGTAAGGCAAGTTAAAAAGCTGTGAATGCAACAGATACAGGAGAATGTCAAATGCTGAGAAATGAAGATAAGCTATTAATTATTTTTTTTCCAGACCACTGCTTCTCTTACCAGGTAATGCTTCCATTATAGTCTCTCTTCTGGCAAATGGCACTTCACTGGTGTTCTTTTCTAGCACTGTGCAAGAGAGGCCCCCTTGTTGGTGTTCTTTCCAAGACAGCCTGACATCAGGTGCCAAAGTCCCCATTCCTGTGATGGATGTTCAGAAACTGCCTGTGCAGAGACAGCTGTTGCCATGGCAGCAGGTGCTTCTGTAGTGGATCTGCCTAACTAATGAAGAAACCATGCTTTATTTAAAAATCAAATAGATTCAGACTGGTTCTTCCAGCTAAGCTGCAGTCATTAACAGGCTCTTCAGAATAGAACTACCTATTCCTGCATTATTATGCTTAAAGTAGCTGCATATACATGCTTCTCTGGAGAAATGGCATTAGTTCCACTCTTAAATACATAAAGGAGTTTATGCAGTCTTTGTCATTTATAAAACAAACGTCTGCATGTTACCACTTTGTTAATGTTACAAGAAAGGTGACAGTTACAAGGAAAGAAGTGCCAATTTGTTAATTTTTCCTCCTCCAGAAGTGTAGGAAATGTAGCAGTCTGCTCACCTGTCCTCCATCAAACACAAACTTCTGTCAGATTTCTGCAAGGACCACAGAGGCCAAGATGATGGGTTTACCATATTTCTAGACAGATTAGGCAAGAAAGTTGTGCAAATGCCAAAGGCACAGCCGTGGTGACATTTACTTGTCTGGTGGATTAGTTGTGTGGAGAAAGGAAAAAAAAAAATTATCAAAAAGTCTTGATTGATCAGGGTAAGTTAAAGAATGTTTGAAAGGTCCTTGTAATAGACAGTAACACTGAGACTAGTGAATTTAATTCAGAGAGAAAAATGACTTGGAGACTTCTTTCCTCCAGTTTACAGGTCTGAATTTGTACAGGAAATATTTCTTATGTTTTCCTTCTGGGTGCCAGAATGATTTCTGACCTGTGTCAGGCTAACTGACTGGGTTCAGTCTGTGAAGAAATGAGGCACATGACATCTTGTTCCAAGGCACTAAGACAGACAATTACATGGTTTACTTTTCTGAAACAGTTACTTGATTTTCGAAACCACTTGCCCTCCTGTA